CTGATAGATGTTCATATTTCCATAGCCGGAGATAATGAGATGAGTTGGGACACGGGTCTCTGGGGTGATTAGTTTGGAGTCTGGTCGAGTTTTGACAAGCGCCAAATGTTGGGCATAAATTGGCGGCAAAAGTGTGGCACGTTACACCAAAATGGCCATGGTGTCAGACAGTCTTATCTAAAGTGTTTTCAACCGAGGTTCGAATCCTGACGGAGGTTTTAATGTCCATGAGCATGACCTTTACTGTAATGTAATTGGCATATATTTTAAGAATGATCTCAGCTATGGGTTGAATATCAGATGAGTGCTGCCTGAGAGCAAATCCTTATTTTTTTTATCAGTATAGAGGTTCGAATCCTGACAGAGATGCTTTGTGTCCATCAGATACTCTACCATAATTGTCATACATCTTAAGGAGGATCTCATTGACATCCATTGACATGTTCTTTAAATTTTGGGGGGCCCAGTACAATTAGCGTTAAAAGTACGACCTTGCCGTGCATACAATTGCAGTGTGAGTGTTTAATATTCTGCTACATATTCAACAGGGCAAGGTGTTGCATACGTGTGCGGGCTGCATTCATTTTAATTTACGAGTGGGACCTTTCCACCTATGGATGTTATCAAGAGAGGTTTTCTTTGTTTTCAGGATCCGAAACTCTGCACCTGTGCCCAAGTAAAAACAGCTTCGTTGTCATTTGCCTATCATAGCAACTTCATTACATGTTCGGGTCGTCAAATGTCCCCCAACAACTTCTCAAACAAAACCAGACAATCTACCTTTTTCCCATGAAAAAACCACTAACACACCTCATCAAAATATTTATCTAAATTCTGACAATAACATTCTTCACATTTAATCTAGTCTTATTACACTGAGGTGACCTAATTATTCTTAGTGCTTCAAGTATTCTCTCAAGAAACCCTGAATTTTTTTTTTTTTTTTTTAAAGTCTTGCCATTTAATTCTGAGCAAAATTCTGCTGGGGACCAGTCCACAGGCATGCAACTGGGAAGTCACAAAAAAAGAGGAAATTCAAATCTTTCCAAGACTTTGTACACTGTTTTTCTATTTTCAATGGCACACATGGGAAGTGAAAAAAGAGGAAATCAGCTGATCCGAGGAAAAGTTGCATGCCTGAGTCCAGAGCAATCATACATTACATGACACTATGGCCGGTGACCTGCTTTCCAGGGCTTTGCAGCGCCCTACATGTATGTTCAGGTGATGAACGAAGTCTCAAAGAGAAAAAATAAGCATCATTTCCCAGAAAAAAAAAACTTAACAATTTTTCAACACAATATTATTTGCCATCATGAGATCCCATGCCGGCAATCTGATTGCAGGTTTTACGATACATGTAGTACTCCGTGGCACAATACAGGCAATTTCCCATCAGCTCCCAAGTGTAAAATTTCATCCGAACGTAGATCATTAGTCTTGATTCAAGCTCGGAGAGGGAAAACTAGACCGGGGTCACAGATACATGAACAACTGTCTCAGGCTACATCAGGAAAGACCATTTTCATAATGCGGCCATCTTGATTCTTTCCCCTTTAAATCAACGCAACCAAAGCGAGGCTGGAAAAAAAATAGTCTGGTTCCTTTTTGCATACAAAACGTTATCATTCAGGAATGTGTGTTTACAGCCAGCAATAGCCAGGTCGTTTCGATGCGGCATCGGTCTTGGCTGCATTTTCTGCTCGAGACAGTTGGGCATCACTTATTCATGAGATTGTTATCTTCCTTTCATTTTCGTTTTTTTCTTGAAGATGGTGTCTTGAGGGGTAGCAGGTGGCCGATGAGATGAAGGCTGGAGATATTTTACACTTACTGGCGGCTACGGAGTTGTGGGATTTTGGGAGAGAGGGGTTCATACGAAGGGGAATTGTTGATGGTTTGAGATATTTCAGGATTGACTTGTGATGGGATTTGGCTCGGCGTTTTGGACTTGTTGGAGGACAGCAGTTTGGACTTGAGTTTTGTGATGTTTATCTGGATATTGTGATAAACTAATAGTCTCCAATAATGACAACTGTTCTTTTTGACGTGTGGAATGAATGCGTTATATTGTTGAGTTTTCTTAATGCTCACGTGCAATTGAGACAGGAGAAAGCTGAGCAACCTTACAGAACTAACTGCTTGTTGCTAATGTGGTGGTTGAGAGATACACACTGAATAGTTATCCTTCCATTCCTAAGATTTACTTGGTTTACATGCTTGCAAACTTCACCAACTTTTATCGCTGCGGTTGCATAAACTTTCTCAGTTTTCCTACTTCAGTCAGTCTTTTCAGTTCTCACGTTTACTTTAGATCTGTTCGTGTTTTACTAGCTTGCTTTACTCACCTTCTTTTTTGTTTGCTTAAAAAGTTGTGCCGCTTACATCTGATTGCATTTGCAGTCAGTCTTATCAGTTCTGATCACTTTCGACTCTGTGTAACCACGCTGTCAAAAGTTTGCCAATGCATCGAAATCTTACGATACCTTTCTTTTTCCCCCCCTTTTTTTTTTACTCGAATGAAAGGTCAGTTCTCGGCCCGGAAAAAAACTGATGATGATCTGCAATCGAGTGCTGGATTTTCTACACCTAAAACCGCTCTTAATTGGTTGATTTCTGAACCCGATTAGGAATCAGTCGAGCGATCAGGTCAGACGGCGTTGCAAAGGCCACCTGAGGTTTTGATCTCGAGAGAAGATTTGAAAGAGCAATTTTTTTTTGGGCAATTTGAAGGGCTTGAAACGTATCAGAGATCAGTTGGCTGGGGTTGTTCTTATCACAGTTTTAAATGGCTAACAATTCAGAGCAACAAGATTAAAAGGTTATGTGGGGTCAGTTTGGAACGATTCTAAGCAAAATTTGGTTTTAAAATCACTATTATTCAAAGTTGAGGAAAGTTCACATGAGCGGCTATTTTGATGTGACATAGGGCATAGTTTGGTTATGATGCATTGGATGTGGTCACTGTCCACATTTGTCCAAAACAAATGGTTATGATATTTATCAATCTGTATCTCCTGGCATTTGAGGTTTTTGTATGAGGACCGCCCGGATTCAACTTTTTCATTTAGAGTTTCCATCAGGAAATTTGAGTTGAATTGAATTTTGTGGTAAAGAATGATGGTTTCCCTGAATACAATTTGCGATTATTTTATAAAGTTTGACATATGCATGAAAGAGAAAATTGCGCTCAGGAGTGAATATTTGCATCTGGTAGCATTCCAGGAATTTTACAGGACAGATGTTCTTTAATTGTATTTTTTTTTAGGGGGGTGGGAGGGGAGAGAGCACTGGATATGGACTGAAGGTTTTCAAAAATGTCAAACTTAACATAATTGTTGTACAAATTCATTCATTGGAACTGTGAATTTCGAACTGTGACTGTCTTCAACCAGGAAAGGTATGCCATTGACGGTACATATTTTATTTTAGATCCATTGAGGTGACAAACAGGTCGTAAAACTAGGAATTTTTTCTTTAAAAGGTTTCTGTGTGGTCTGTTTGTAGACCAAAGAACTCAGATTCACAACAAACCGGCTGGAAAAATTCCCGGCGATGGTTTTATAAATCAACTTCAAAGGCTGAGTAACCGAGGCAGAAAAGCCCCTTAACGGGATCGTCCCTTTGAGGATTGAGTAAGTAAGAAAGACACTCCTAAAAGGCTTAAATAATAATCCTCCTCAGAAATTTTGCCAAATCATATAATGAAATATTACCGTGGGCCCGAAATGCTTCGCACGCCTTTAATTGATCAATTAGGTATGGTGTTGCGCTCAGCGACAATGAAATAGGAAGTATTGCTTACAACTTTTTTTTTTCCCAAGCCACGCAGAAAGAGAATTGTACTTTTTTTCAATAAGTACGTTGATCTTTGGGTGAACTTTTTTTCATGTGTGTTTCCACTGGGGGACTGGGACTGTGAAAGTATCTGGGATAAATGTAAAACTATCCACCCCTTTTTGTGGCCAGTTCTTTTATGGAATTTTCTGACTCATGGTCACTGGAGTTGTTCTGAATGGGGCAATCAAGTAAGCCTGATGCCAACATTTGAAAGGCAAGTACTGATCAATAATCAATAATCATTACAACCGCATGATTACAACTTGAGCCCACTGTAGTTTTTAGATCTAGCAGATGGGGGTCTTGTGCTACAAAGACATTTGGTAAATGGCGTTAATTTGAGCTAGGATCAGTACTGGGACATTATCAAGTCAAAATAATGATATCCCAAACCAGCTCACTATAATCTATTAACAGAGAAACAGACACTACACCAACAATTTATTATTTCCCTCCACATAATTTTCCTAAGATGCACTCAGGAATAAATTGTGTTTCCACACTGGGGAAACAAGTACCATTCTGTCAATAATTTAAAACTTCAAGTGGGACCTCAACAAATATTTTTTAACTGACCAGTCCAGTCACAAGTAAATCAAGTCCAGTAACAAGTCAACCACAAGTCCAGTAAAAAGTAACAGGGTATGAACAACAGCAGGGCATGCCTTTGTCACAGTTGATTTGAAAATTTGTGACTTGATGTTGGACTCTATGACTCGTGATGGACTTGTGAGGACTTGTTGGAAAGGACTTGTGGGAGTTGACTTGCGAGGACTTGTGAGGACTTGTGAGGACTTGTGAGGGACTTGTGAGGGACTTGTAAGAGACTTGTAAGTAATTGCGAGGACTTGTGAGGACTTGTGACGGACTTGTGAGGTCTTGTGTAGACTTGTGAGGTCTTATGTGAACTTGTGAAGACTTTTGAGGACTTGTGAGGACTCGTGATGGACTTTTGGAGACTTGTGAGGACTCATGTTGGACGTGTGAGGACTTGCGTGGACTTGTGAGGACTTGTGAGGTCATTTTGAGTGAGGTCGTGTGAGCACTTGTAAGGACTTATGAGGACCTGTGAGGTCTTGTGTGGACTTGTGCTGGACTTGAATACAACACTGACCCAGGGAGGGCTGGAAGGAAGAGAAAATAATAATTGTAAGACTTACTGCTGACAGAGGGAGACTAGGTGATCGTCTGTTGTGTGCGTGGGAAGGCCTCGTATGTACAGATTGGTCTTACTCAGCTTGTCGTTGCCGTAACTACTCTGTGAGGACTGGGAGTGGGGGGAATGTTGCTGACTGGAAGAGCCTGAGCTACCCGCCGAGCCCGTGTTACTGGCTGGGCTGGGTGGAGGCATTGTTCTGACTGGTGGGTACGTCTGAGGTAAAGAAAACGAGAGAAAAGCGAGAGAATTAGTTATAAGTTTCACAAGCTTTGTTTAAAGGGAATATACAACATTTGCAAACATACCAAGTTTTTGCGAAATACCTTAATAGGATGTTAGTGAATGACAGTCTAAAGCATCCTGTAAAATTATGGCACCTGGTGTACTGACATTTTCAAGAAAAGTGGTATTTTTGTATCAATTTCCAACGCTGATCGGCCGATCAGCGTTGGAAACAACTGGCTTTTTTTCAAATACTGGCCCCAATTGACCATTGCACTTGTTTGCAATCGATTACAAACCTATGAACGGGTACGAGCCAGCTAGACTGGTTCCCTGACCTTACAATTCCCCAATGATGTAAACTGCTCTGTTTCTTCTTATATGGAGTCAGGGAACCAGACTACAGGAAAATGATCGTTTTTCTTGGTTTTTATAGCATTTTCGAACCCAAAACCTCCAAAAAGTCAGTGTAACTATATTTGCTTTATATTTCCAACCCCCCAATTCCATCCATTTCTGAAAATTACAGCAAAAGCAAATGATGTATATTCCCTTTAAGTGCTCTGCAAGGACAGGGAGTGGTGGGATGTTGCTGGGTAGGTCTGTGGTAAGAATGGGATATAAGGAGAAAAAAAATGAAGAAATCATTTATAAGTTTCTGAAGTTTTCACAGTTGGATTTTGTAAGCTCTGTAAACTCATTGCTATCCTAGAGATTAAGAACAAAATTCAGAAGCTTGTACGGGTGGGACTCGAACCGAGATCTCCTGCTTACTAGTGCAGAGGACTTAACACATAACCACAAAGCGTGCTGGGGTCAACTGGCCGATTCCAATTCTGGTTTTCCACGCTCACAAGTGGCATATAAAAAAAACCAAATGGCGAAGCATTCATACACAATTTAAGAAACAAATATCACTCCATCTTACTGTGTTGAGATAACTTGAGAACGTAAATAATATGAATATTAAGGTCTACAAGGTACAGTGTGTACATGCCATACAATAAGAAACTTCCATGTTTTATCTGAACATATCATACTATCAGTACATTCCATATTTTGTCTGCACATACACGTATGTCACAAAGTACAGTCTCAAGTTGTAAATACAGATGAGTGAGATGACCCAGACATTAATTGAACTGCTTTGAAAATTTCCAATTACCTCATCCTCAACTCACAAATGAACAATATAATTATAATTTACTAAGGCCATTTTTTCTTTCTTCAAAAATTCCGACCAGTCAAACAGTCCCTTGTTCGTGCCATCAATTCGCACACCAGCATACATGTATCCAATCTACCTGCATATCTGCCCAAGCTTACATAACCACTCACTAGACAAGACCACCCGGCAAACTTAACTGCTCCTCCCCAAGGAAAATATGCAGTAATTTGCCCCTGACAGGCCAAGAAGCTAATTAAGCGTAATTGTTAGTTGTGACTATGCTGGTAGGGGTCCTTACTGCTCCTTCCTTCTACTGAAAAAAAGTATAACAAATTGGAGCTACCTAAATGGAATCCCTGATAACAGTACTTATAATTATCAGAAGACAGTTGAGAGTGGGCATCGTTATTCACCACAGACTGTCAGATCCACCCTACAGAATCCATGTTCCAACAAGATGCTTCTCTGGTGTGATGTTCAGATAATCAGTAAGCAACATGGTCCACTTTTGATGAAGCTGTGTGAATCGGCCAGCTTCATAATTTGCTGGTTTGTTGATTTCTGTTTCCGGAAAACCACCTTGAGAAACAGGTTTCACTTTCAAAAATGACACATCATACTCAAAATGACGAGAAGAAGGGGGGAGGGGCCAATACGAAATCTCCAACCACTTTCTGCTCTCCTCCCACTTTCTGCATTCCAGGAGTTCAGCAGGACTGTGAATGCAGGTAGCAAAGACACGTTCAGTTCAGAGCTTTCAACCAAAAAATATAGAAGTTCACTAACTGTAGTGGCCTAAAATATGAAATCCAGTAAAAGTCTTCGGGAAAAGATTCTGTTTCAGTTGAAACGTCAGGCCATCTAACCCTACTTGTAACAGAATACAGTTCAACCAAGCAAATACAAATCTAGCTAGAAACCAAAACTTTTTGACCCAATTCTTTCAATTCAAAACTGAAGTAGAGTTTTTGGTTGTTTTTCTTTCTTTCTTTTTTGATGCATAGCTTTCTGACTCATTTCTCAACAAGAAATTCCTCAGAATTTCTCAACCACATGACAAAAGAACAACACAAATTTTCTGTTCCTCGAAGTCCACCAAACAGAAAGGTTCTCACCCCCAAAAAGCCCAACACAGACCCACAGACCACTTCCTCCCAAAATGAGACTTCACAGCCCCTTTAAGTTCAGAGTTCACTCACATTCCTATCCTATCTGGTTGAAGTCCCAGGCCCCCATGGGAGATTGTGTGATCTTTACTGCACTGTCACCTTTACTAGTCAAATTTTACGATCAGGCATATCTGGGCTTGTGGGTCTTTATTATCAAAAACAGGTATCTGTGGGGCCCGGTCGTAAATTTACATTTTTCGCTCCTTCAAACAAGCTTTTACCTATGCTTTTACCCATTAAACTCCGCCTTATTTCGTGGCTTGTGCTGACAAGAGTAGAATCTCTTTCTTACTGTACATAGTGTACAGTAAAATATACTGTGGTAGCAGTAAAGTGTAAATTTTCCACTGGTTTCGGCTAAACATGCATAACATCACTATACCATGGCTATACTTTAAAGTGGAAAAGGTGCATGCCTGTGTTGCTCCAGATGACTTCAGATGTCTCAGGTAAAATTGGAATGGGCACAAAGTACAAAGTTGGACCACAGGGGATCAAAAAATATTCAAATGGGTCGAACCCAAAGATTTGGACATAAATTTATGGGGAAGGGACCCCCTAGGTTTTGATTTATTTATATTCAAGCACCATAATGGTGTTTTATGGCAGACCCCATACTTCATTTGGGCCCTTGTTTACATTCCTATCTTAAGAGCTACATAAGCTGTTGATACTAGGGAAGGGGTACAGCAAAAACTATACCCCAGGATAACAGGGTCAATATTATCAGAAATAAAAAGCCCATTATGGACTGGAGGTATTTAATCCATGATCCATGCAAGGTTTCTGTAGTCTAGGTCAATATTTTAAAAGCACCATCTAAGAGATAAAACACTTGTAAAAGTGAGCACTGGGAATGTGTAATTAGCAGAGATGATTTTTGTTTTATCTTGTGGGTCTGGGGGGTCTGGCAACCAGTATTTATACAGACACATTAGCTGTAAATTTACGACACCCCATGAACATTCCTCACACTGCAAAAACCTAGTGGCCCATGCACATGGGTGGCCTGAACAGAAGCATTTCTGTAAAACTGTTTTAGATTTTTGAATAATGAAGATTTTTTCAACAGGAGAGTAAAATTATACAAAACCCCCAGAACTTTTATCCTCAAGTTGGTCATTTTTTGAGACTATATTGCTGGACAAACTGTGACGAAGGATTCATCAAAACCATTTCGTACAAAACTACAATACTACATGAAGATAATTGTTTAAAAATCAAGTTCGATTCTTGCTAGATCAAAAAAAAATTGAGCTCTGTTTTTTTTACGTCCCAATTAATGTTAGTCCTCCCAAAGTTTCTCCCAAATTCCAAAACTGAAATATTTCTCCTCTCCAACAGTACTTTTATTCAACAGGATTACTTTTGAGTAAGACTTATGCTTCTGCTTCGTACTGCAACTATCTCCCCGCAGGGATATCTAAATTTGCAGGTAACTTATAGAACATATAACATACGTTTTTCGCTATGTTGTATTCGTCAACTGTGTTTAACTATACAACAGCCATTGAAATTGTGGGCACGTGTGGTCTAGCGGTGGAGCACAGGATTCATGATCGTGAGGTTGTGGGTTCGAGCCCCGCCGTGGCCATGCGTATTGTGCCCTTGAGTAAGGTGCTTTACCTCAATTACTCCTCTCAACCCAAGTGTTAAATGGGTACCAGCATTATTCAATGCTGGGAAGGTAACAGACTCGCTGTGGAGGAGGTGTGGTGATTCCCCCACAGCAGCATATGAGTCTGGCCCAATTGCAAGCAATAGAAAGAGAGAAGGGCACTCCATTCCTGTTAACACAGGTTCGTCCCTCTTTTTTAGCCTATGAAATAGACTTAGGGCAGCCAAGAGAGAGCTATACATGTAGCTTTTTGGACGCAAATTCTTCATAAATTCAGAAGATCACACATCACCTCTAGCAATAGGATTATCCTTTTCTTTTCAAAGGCTACACTACAGCTCTTCATGACTACAGCTTTCAACACAGGCTCTAAAAACTCACGTCAATAATTATTTTTTTCCCCCTGGCAGCCCATCTGCCGCACTTATGCAATTAGCCAGTTTGCAGGTAGATGATCTTGAGGGTGTCAATTTACAATTTTCGTCGGATTAATTTACGAGTTGGAACTAAAATGAAAACGAGCTGACCTGGCCTTGTCTTTAAGTCGTTGCATCGTTAAGGGCGAGTTAATCTACCGGTATCACTATCAGTCAGCTGATGATGCATCAAAGAAATTTTTTAATGTGAAGTCAACTAAAAAAAATTTAAGTTAATTGTAGTAGCCCTTGGTTCTGACTCTTAAGTTGCAACACTCGAAGCCGTCAACTTAAAAAACACCTTGATTTTCAAGTCATAAATCGAGGGATCCCTAAAGTTTAATTTCATGGTTCGCAGGCCCTCATCCAGGGACGTAATTTATTATACCCTGAACGAGAAAGTTAATTTTTTTTTCTTGTCAGGGCAAAGCCTTAGTTAGTTTGGGAGATCAAATTCATGCATCAATATGGTGGCTCAAAAAGGGGCTAAGGTAAGAAAAGTTTGAGGGTAGAATATATAAGTAAAGTGAAGGATCAATAGTGGGTTGTCGCAGCGGTACTTTCCTTGCCTTCCACCGCTGTGACCCGGGTTCGATTCCTGCCCTGGCCACATGTGGATTGGGTTTTCAGTCCCTACCTGATTCCGTGGGTTTCCCCCAGAATATTCATCTGGGGTTTTCCTCCCACCTTCAAAACTGTAATTTCTTCTCATTGTCTCCTCTCTACAGGTTTCATCAGACTTGCGAGATACAGTGCCTGGGGCGCTTTTAGGAATCCTTGGTTACATTACCAGAAATATACAAACAATAAAGAATCATTTTCATCCAAAGAAAACAATGCTCACCGATCCTCAATGCCAAAATTGAAGAAAATCCTCGTTTCCCAAGATGGCTTCTCATACAAACTTACTGCACACTCCTTACAGCATGGAAAGTGATTCCCTTAAAACTCAGGCTGAGCTACAGTTATCTGGCTGTGGCTAGCTGTAACATACATGTCTCTGAGAAATGGCTTCCATAGGTGCATGTGTAATTGTAGGCCGTAGCCTTTAATTTACAAAGTGCCTGAAAATCACCAACAATGACTCAATGGGAATGACCTACATGCAGCCTAGCCAGATGGGGAAGACACCCAAGAATATTGACTTTTTTTTAACCCTAATCACAAGCCTCGCATAATAAACCGAACGTTGTACCGCAGTTATCGACGAATTCAATCCAACGTATTGACGGCCTCCAACTGGATAGATAGAGTACGGTCAACTACTACTGTAGGAATAGATAGACGGAGTTTGGGTGTTGGGTCAGGTATGCAATGATATTGATATTAACTGTCCATATGGGCTGTCCATAAAGAAACATCTGCACAAGATGTGTAAATTATGTGTATTATTACCATACACTGTTACAATTAATTGACAGAGTTAACAGCTGTACTGACTTGCTCTATTCAATGCTCCACCAAATAATACTTTTTAGAGAAACTTAAACCTCGACTTTTTCAATAAAAAATTGACGGTTTTGCAAAGAAAGCATGTACTCAGACAACATGTCAAAAAAGTTCAAATCATACTATATTTTAAACACTTTGACAAAAAGTCCCCCATTTTTTGCAATTATCTTTACAAGTTTTGTGAGTGCATGAACCTTGCTATGCAGGTTTACATAATTTTACACTTGTACTTGTAGATTAGTTTTTGTATATTTTCCTTTGAAAATAAGAAAGAGGAAAATTTCAGAGAAAATGCCTTCCTCTCTGTGATTTTCAAAAGCAGTTCCAATTTTAAGCCTGTTTTTATTTATCCCAAAAAAAAACCTGACCAAATTTCTATTGTGGAGCACTTTCTGGGGTCTAAAAAGAACAACTAAACAATTCAATTAACAAATACAACTGTCAAAAGAAGTGTTTTTAAGTAAAGAGACAAGAGTGAATATAAAGAGGAATCATACATGATACACCAGGTAGGCTTGTTGGTGCGGGTTGTTATATCCCGAGAGGACGTAAGCAGGTTGTCCGCTGGTCTTCATGATCCACAAATTTTGTTTTTAGCGACTCCACAAAGCGTTGACTTAAAACAACACTTGGTTGAACTCCTCAGACTGAAGACAGATATAGCTCCACACGTGTGGGACGGTCGACTTTGCAAAGTCAATCAGAGAACACCTGGCTGCATCCGCTGATGGAGAGTTCAGCGGTGTAGGATTCGTATAGTTCCCAACGATGCTGCTTGCAGTTCAGAGCTACGAGTTGACAAATCAAATCTGTTCACCTGGCCGCAGATCTGAAAGTATTATTCAGTGGTCGAAGTGGCCACACATTACTGGCGATTGTTGTCCACCGCGATCACAGCATTCCACAATCTCTATTCAATCCCCGTTGAATTCAATCAACGCAGCGCCTCTTGCGTTGTCCCGGCACCAGGCTCAAGTATTAGAAAAAGCCAAACCACTGGACATGCACACAATACTCTGAATAGAGAGCTGGGCACAAGGGGAGAAAGTTTAAGCCGTCACCCTGAATGCCTGTCAGTAGCTGTGGGAGCTTGTTGTAGTTGTAGAGAGTAGATGCCACAAAGTGGGATGGGCTACTGGGTCTCCGGTGCCACGCAGGGCCAATGGGTTTTGTTGGTAAACGCCCCTGAGCTATGTGTGCCCATAAGGGGTGCAAACTGGGTGACGCTTCAATGGTCCCTGCTCTGTGTGTATGTGTACAGGGCTCACACAATAAACACAAGACTGTTTGGTATGCCAGCTATGCTGTACAGCAAGAGTGTAAGCACTCTGCATGGGCTGCAGTGACACTAATGACAGGTTTAGTCAGTGTGTGGTATGCACGGGCTACCCAGCTGTTCAATATGAGGATCCTGAGTGTATTGGAATACGTGACAGCTCTGATGCACACACTGATACACACAGGCTTGACTAATTGGCACAGTGGTTGGCTAACGCACTCACTGCATAATGTAATGATGTTGGTTTGGGTCGGTGGTGTGCTAGTAGTATACAATGTAATAATGACATGCGCCGGGATATTATCGGAATCAAATTGTGTTTTGATTAACAACTGCCGAGGCGCTTTTCTTTGAGGCGGGACTGAAGGAACACTTCCGCTTGTGCGGGCCAGGCACGGGGACACTTCAGAGGCAAAACTGTGAAGGAGGGGGGGGGGGAGGAGAGAGAGCTCTGGGTTGGAACAGAAGGAACAAGGAAATAAAACAGATATAGGATAAGGAAATAACTATCGGCCAAGAGTGGCAACAGAACAGGATCTCACATTCATTTCTGGATTCTCGTTCCAAACCAAGATAATCATGAGCCAATCATTTAAATCAAAACTTGACTTTTATTTGGGGGTTTTAAAATTACATCCTTCTGCACAGTTTCACTGTACGAACTACATCTTCACTGTGATGGGACGTGAAAAAGGAACCTCCAAACTACAACTCCAGCATCCAAACCATCTTTACTATCAATTCTTCCTTAAACCCTAACAATCCTGATTCCTCCAATTTAATATATTTTTTTTCACACACTGTTGGTATTATGGTTTAAATTTATAAATGTTAATTTTTTTATGAACTGTTCGTCTTTAGTACTTAGAGCCATGGGAGACCACAAGATTCCAATACATGGATGACCCTAAATAACTCAGAAAAAATGGTCAACTGAAATAACTGACCATGAAATTGGAGCAAAAACAATTCTCAAAACATTTTTGGCAAGATTGGATAACTCAGTGTCTCAAAACAGTACCATCACAGCCAAACCTAGAACTGTTCAAGATTGTTCATTCTCTAGACAACGACAGTTCTGACAAACCACCCTTTATCATTCTCAAGTTTGAATTGAAACCTTTAAATGAGCTTCAAACCTTCCTTGGTATTTTTAAATTGATCTTTCTGGGTCATAAAATACTGGGACACTCCCTTCACTTTCTTTCTTGGCATTCTTGACCCTGGGGCAGCCCAAGAATGCCATCACGTCCGCCATTTGGGAAAGAGCTGAGTGTTTTGCGACGCCTCAACCTCACACTATAGATTGCGTCATCTGATTGGTCCAGGTACCGGTAAGTTCAGTGACTGATTTCAGGGCTTGCCATTGGTTGACATGTGGGCTAGGGATAGTGAAAGGAGTTATATCATTGGGTGACTGAATCTAGTCTGGTCTGTGATTGGTCAAAATTTCGGGGGGGGGGGAAATCTCTGCATGATTTTATTGGTTGGTGGGTTTTCAAGTAGGTGATTTCAACGCTTATTTTAGTTGATCAGAGAAAACAACATTCTGACAAATTCAGAAGTTTGTAAGTCAGAAACTGATTGGGATGAAAGTTGACTCACCTTAACCAACCCACTGATTTGCCTGACCAATTACATTGCTCCATTTATATCTGACAAACCAATGACTGTTCTAAGGGAGCCACTGATTGGTCACAAGTTCAAAATGCCCCCTCTCCTTTACCGAATGAGTGTAACATTTTGCACTGGACTTGATGAAAAGTTCTCCAACTTGCAATTTCTTTGGTAATAGTCCAGCTTTGATTTTAAGGTGTTAAATACATCACTTTGGACCCCCCATTGGAACTCTGAAACACGGATGTAATTATCTCTTTCCAGGTGACCTCCTTGGAGTGATTGATCTCAAGTCTGCTGAGGGAGGCGGCAAATATCACCAGATTTAGGCATTCCGTTGGAATGCAATTTGACATGTTCTCAACCACCACTGTTAACAGGTAATTGCAACAGATCTGCCAAGGATGTTGTGTTGAGACAAGAGAGGAATGTTGAGAATCGTTCAAGAAATGCAAAGGGCGCCAAGAATACCCTCAAGGAATTCTGATTATCTTGGTGTTACATTCACAAATTGAAAGTAGCTTGGGTTCGTTTATAAAGCTTAAAAGTTCAATTCTCATAGATTACAATTTTTTTCACTGGTATTTTGCACAGTCGTGTACCAATTAGCAGTTGCTTGTGGACACGCAATGAGATGCTTAATATACATAATTTTCCTCACTAATAAATGTTCAGCAAAAATGGTCACCAGTCACAATTTTGTGTGACACATTTTGTTACTTGTTTCAAGCTGATATTTTTTTCCAGCTTTGAAATTTGTTAACTATAAGCATAATTATATGTTAAAAAAAGACTGACATCAGGCTCGGATTCTCTCTGTTGTGGGAGCTGAAAAGCACTACACAATAGATGCTGCACGCTACAGACTCAGCTAATGACATGCATCAATGGATGAATTGGGAGCTATTAACGAACCCCCTCCCACTGCAGGCTCCGAGCCACGCCCACACTTGTACACCAACATGAATAAAAAACCAATCCAAAATGCTCAGGAATCTATTATTCAATTTGGAAGGCGGCAAAGACAGAGAAATCCCCAGCAGGTTTACTCTAAAGAGCTTTCCGCAGTTTCCTGGCCAGCTTAATCCTCTCTGCCATCCAATTCACCAAACTCAATCCGTCCCCCTATTCTTTATTAACAAAAAAAAAAAATCGCAGCCTCTTCAAAAGTGACTTTCTCCCCTGACAAAACAGAAGTGGTTACACAATGCGAGATCCCTTCTCTTGCTCTCTGTCCAGTGAGTACGTCAAAAGACAGGTTTCTTCTGTTCCCTGGGTCCTTTTGTTTCCCTTTTTGCAAAGAGAGTGGAGGGGCTTTGTCGGAGACTAGAAGAAAGAGAGCTTTTTTTGGAGGGGGAGGCTTAAACAATCCAACTTGTTTTGTGTTGGGGAGACAAGAGGGGGAGCTCCAGGGGAACTAGAGTGGGGGAGTGTGGACTCTGAAGACAAGTGAATCGTAAGCAAAGCACGACAGCCAGTAGGCCGACAACCGAAGGAATGAATAGCTGTGATTTACTGAGTCAGAAAATAGAATGCACAACAGACTTCTTTAAGCTTTTAATACTGTTTGGAAACCGGGGTGGCCTCCACAGTGCAGGCGCTTGCAGTTATATTTCAAGCTCATTAAAAATTTACAACATGAAGTCGAGAACCACATACTGAACTACAGAGAAAGGATTGAACCTCAAACACAGTGATGTTTTCTCTGAGTAATGTTAGTCTGTCTGCTCATAGCTGGATCATTCTCACTTTATTTTTTTCCTGTCCCTGTCACATCTGATATCTATGATTTTCTTTTACATTTTTGATACTCTTCTTCAAGCAGTTGTCTTCCGAGAGTGATCTACCCAACAAATAAATCAAATCGCTTGAAGTCATTCTTCATGATACTTGAATGGCAATTGGCAACTTACAGAGTTCCAATGCAACAGGAAAAATGTCACACTTTGGACCTTGAATTAATCATAAGATCCAGATATCAATGTGTGTTTCCTATTTTCTAAGTTTCTTTAGGTATTAAAGTGGAGCCTTGACACTATTCTTCCATAGAACTCGAGGCCTCAAAAGGGAGGTGTTTTGTTTTTGTTTTTAAATACAGCACTAAAATTCAACAACAATTTCTAACAAGGATCATCTTGTAAATCAATTGTTGACCTGCTTGTCTGTGACGCATTCGAGAAATTTGCAAAAAATAAAAAACTGTTTCCAGAAATTTTACCAAATCGTTGACCAATATGCATTCCACAGTTGCCAAAATGACTTGGGATGTCGCTGGTTGCCACCACACTAAATGGTTTCTGAGCAATCGGGATTAGTGGAAAAAAACTGATGACCAAATGCTTCCAGGAATGATATGGACATTAACTTCATTTGGATGACTCAAAGAACGACGAGCAAGTGACAGTATTTTCCAGGAATCAACAGGGATTACAGAAACAAATCCTGAATTTGGTACACCTATTATTTTACCCACTTCAATTGGGCATATGAGGGAAAAACTGGATTTATTTTTAACATTCAGTTCATTTTTCCTTCATGTATTTCTTTTTAAAAAAAATCACTTTCTAGAAATAATGAGTCTTTCTTAAATGAACCCACTTCTTGTGTTATTAAACATATAGGTAATTCTAGCATTATAAAAGGAAGTCTAATGTTCATGACAGAGCCAATTAACCATGATATCCAATGAATGATTCAGAGAAATGATCCAAAACTCCTAGTCTGTAATCTCCTTGACCATTACAAGATGGTGAATGTATACTAGCATAAGACTCGAAGGAAAAAAATTCAGGTTTATTCACTGAGCTCTTAAAAAACTCTGTCATATACATTACATAACGCTGGAATTTCCCATGCATTATTTTAAACAAAGAAAAAAAACCGAAAAAAATTAGATTCTTTAAATTTGAACTCATATTAATTTGTAGTTTGAAATTCTACCATATTCCTTTGGTAGACCCTTAAAAGATGTCCAAGGGAAAGCATGCGTAACGGGAAAACAATGAAAAATCCAGAATTATTATCCAACAAAGACCATACAGAACTCAGTGAAATCCCTTTGAATATTAAGGGGGAAAATGACTGAAAGTACACAAGAAAAATATTGTTTTTCTGATACTTCTATTTTTGAGTCAATGGTAAAATTTGAGCCGGCATTGGTCAGGGGAAAGAAGATCTCTGCAATATGACACCACCGGTAATCAGTAACTGAAGAAGAAGAGGGAGAACTCTACGGGGAAAATTATGTTGAGGCTGTTTAATAATGTATGATATGTGCCAACAGCAGACTGTGTGCTACATGTAGAGTCTGTTTTTAATACGTTTCTGGGGGAGTGTGGCCAAGTGGTTAGGGTTCATGACTCATGATCAGAGGGTCAGGGGTTCGAATCCAGCTGCCGGTCATATCTTGTGTCCTTGGGCAAGCCACTTCACCCCCACTTGCCTCTCTCCACCCAGGAGGAGTATAAATG